GATATTAAAGATATTATTAATATTCTTAAAAACCTACCACCACAATTACTTCGTGAAATTATTATTCAAATAGAAAAGTTAAACCCAGAAACTCCTGATTTAACTAATCTTATAAATTTCGCACAAGAAATTAGAACTTAATCACTCGTTAGTGGTATTAAGATTGGTGATCATGATATATATATTTGTTTTCATTTTATTTTATTATTTTATTATATTTATTTAAATTATATTTGTATTCATTATATTTTATCATTTTATTTTATTATATTTATTTAAATAAAAAATATTAATACAAAATTTCAAATGATCTAAAAACTTCTTTTATATTATTATCATTAATTTCTTCTACATTTTTTCTATTTACTAATACTTTAGTGATTAAATTTAAAAAATTCTTTTTATCGTGTTTAGTTTCATATGATAAACCCAATTGATTTAAAGAATCTTGTATTATATTGATATTTTCTATTGTAATTTTTAAAATATTAGCTAATGATTTTTTATATTCAATTATTACTAAATCAACACTTTTAATTATATCAATCTTCTCTTGATCTACACATAAAGGATTGTCCCAAGAAAATTCAGCTGGTAGATAAAGTATAGGATATCTACGTAATTTTTTAAATTTTTTATTTTTCTCTAATCGTTCTTGATTCATTATCGCTTTTTTACGTGGTTCTTCATAAAGATAATTATTAATATCTTTTACTAAATTATTTACTTCATTTATCTTCTTTTTTGTAAACTTCTTATTCAACAAATATTTTTCATCTTTACCAAGAACCCAATTCAAATAAAACACTTCTAACAATGAATTTTTATCTTTACTTTTATCATATACTTCTTTGATAAGTTTTACAACTGATTTGTTTTTTCTTGTAGGGAAAAACTTTAATAAATCAACATTAGATAATGTTTTTTATATTGAGTAATAATAAAATTAATTTGTTTATCAAAAGATCCTGAAGCATCTCGAATTTGTTCTGCTTTATCTAAATTTCTTGTTGGTATATCATCATCTTCTAAAAGACATTTTGGTGTATTTTCTTTTTCTTTTAATTCTTTAATTCTATCTAATCAATTTTGTTGAAGATTTATTTTTAATCTATCAGTCAAAAAATCTTGATCAAGATTATTTTCAATAATATCTTGCTATTCTTTTTGTAATTTATCAATATCTTTTTCTATTTTGATAGCTGAACTAATAATATCATATAATCCATTGTTATATTGAGTTTTTCGTTCTCTTTCTAGTTCTGATTTATCACAATTTCCTGTTAATAAAGTTTGATTTAATACTTTAATATCTGTAAATATTTCTGATAAATCTGATATTTCTTTAATATTTTCTGTGTTATTAATAATATCTCTTATAAGATTATATCTTTGATCTTCTTCACTTTCTAATAATCGATCAATTCTCGATCTTCGTAAAATATGTAATTTTTCTTTTGAATTATTAGAATTCAAATATTCTTCTCTAACTTCACCAATTCTTTCATCAAAATATTCACTATCATTTAATTGTTCTAAATCTTTTGATATCTCTATTTCTTTCTTTAACGTGTTGTAATAATTGTTTACTAACAATTGTAACTGTTTTTTTCTTGTTGTTTGTAATAATTGTCTTTGATTTTCAACTAAAAAACTGTTTGTTCGAATTAAATCATCAAAAAGATTTCTATCTAACAAATTTGACAATAAAGATTCATTTTCAATTTCTTCTTTAATACGTAAAAAATCTATTGCCCCTTTTAATGATTTAATTTTTTGATCCCGTATTATATGTAATTCATTTTTCTTTTTTTGATCAATATATTTTGTTTTAAAATCTATTTCTTCTTTGATATCTACTTCTAATTTAGTAACTGAATTTTCTTTTTCAATCTTTTTTTTTATATTTTCAAACTCTTCTTCTTGTCTAAAATTATCAATTTTTTCTTTT